AGGGGGGGCTTGAAAGTGATTTTCCCAGCCCCTCACAGGAACGGAGTCAGGACAACTAGAGAATTAGTCTATCCTGTCAATATTGATTTCTCCAAGCCAGAAATTAATTTTCATTCTTCCGTCTATATTTTCACATACTCACAAAATGCAGACTAAAGACAAGATATCAGTATTACTCCCATTCCAGCAGGGGAAGGATTCTGTAGGTGCCACTAAGTTTAGTCCAAATTGTCCAGATGGCTAATGAAGAATGGAGTATGACATTAATATACATGTGAAAAGCAGATTTCATTTAATAGTCTAGTAAAGGCTAGTGCCTTTACCAGCTCTCATTTGGCTGCCTTTCTGTGTGCCTTTGTTAGATGTTCAAGGGAACAACACTGTCGAAGGACCCGTTTTTGGTTTCTCAAGCAGAGGGACAACATACATGGTTCCTGGCCCCACAGCTGACACTGAGCAGCACACTGCTGAAGCTCCGGGCTGCCACAACTCATGTTATGGTAGATGCAAGCCAAAATAAATTTCTCAATGCACAATATTTACAGGAACCATGATATGCAGATGAGGATGAGGATGTATATGAATCAGGATGTATATGAATGTTTTGCTCCAAGGCAAACATCAGTTTAAATACAGAAAGGTGAAAACATCCCAAAGCCCTAGGTTTAGTAACCCAGTGCCTCTCTTCACAGAACCACAGGCTGATTAAGGTTGGAGCTCTGAAGATCATCTATCCAACCTCCCCCTGCACAAGCAGGGTCACCTAGAGCACACGGCACAGGATTGCACTCAGGTGGGATTTGAATATCTCCAGAGAAGAAGACTCCACAGCCTCTCTAGGCAGCCTGTTCCAGTTCTCTGTCACCCTCACAGTCAAGAAACTTCTTTTCAAATTCAGGAAGCACTTCCTGCACTTCAGTTTGTGGCTGCTGCCTCTTGTCCTGCCATTGGCCACCACTGAAAAGAGTCTGGACCCATCCTCTTGACATTCTCCCTTACGGTGTTTATACACACTGATAACATCACCTTTCCACCTTTTCATCTTTAGGCCCAGATCCCTCAGTCTGTCCTCATAGGACAGATGTTCTAGTCCTCTGATCATCTTTGTAGCCCCATGCTGAACTCTCCCCAGTACCTCCATGTCCCTGTGGTATTGGGCAGCCTAGAACTGAACAAAGTACTTCAGATGAAGCCTTACCAGGGCTGAGTAGCAGACCACCTCCCTCGACCTGCTGGCAACACTCCTAATGCACCCCTGAATACTACTGGCCACACTAATTGTACAAAGTAGCAACTATGAAGAATCCAACCACGAAGCAGACCCAAAATGCTGCAATCTCTTCCCCACAGAGGAAGAAGCAGTTCTGTGAGCACAGCAATCAAGGAAATCTGGTGACCTAACATTATGTCCCAGAATTACTCGACATGAATACCTGAGGAACAGGTTCCAACTGAATTTTTTTACAGCACGGAAGATAAATTGAATAAGTCAGGGCAGAATTATTCTCTCCTTAATGTAGATGCTTACAGTGTAGATGCCTATAGCTGAGCTGGTCATCCTATCCATCACTCTTGTAGGAGAGAGGAATAGTGCTTGGAAGTCTAACTCATCCAACCCCCTTGCTCCATCTCCTTCAGCGTGAGATGAAACACACCTGTTTGACTGATCATTGCTGATTGTAACAGACCACTGATAGTACAGATGGTGACACCTGAAGATGGTGACACTAAAGTTTAATCCGATGGGTTCCAGACAGAAGGACAGTGTAGTGACATGACAAGGACTCATAGACAAAAAGATCTTTTTAAGTTAGAGAGGGAAGCTGCATAGGATCAGATAATAGACATTGATTCGGAAACTAGCAAAAAGCACAACCTGAGCCAAATCTGACTAGTATTTATGTTTGGGGGGAAAAAAGAAGAAAAAGAAAAGAAGAAAAAAAAAAGTAGTACAGATGTTTCCCTATCTATTATACTATTCAATTTTGTTCACTTTTTGCTTCCAGTTGGAAAAGCCTGAAATAGAAATGAAACAAATTCCAGGCATAAAACTGTTCTTGGTAGACTGAAAACTGAATCCCGCACATCCAGGAGGATAATTTCTTTAAACTCAGTGGTAATTTTTACCAAGGCAGTACCTATACAACCTCTCAAAGAAGGAGACTACCCTGAGTGTAAATCATGTACAAAGCTATGAAATGAGAACATCCAGGTTTGGGCAAGGATATCTAGGAGAGGCTTTATATTTCCAAGAATTTATTCAATCACGGCTCTGAACTTTGGATGGTCTCAGTTTGGATGGAATTATTTGACCTCTTTTCTATCAACTTAATTTCTGAATCATCTGTTCAATCTGGATGCAATTGTTAATTTGTTTGGAGAGCTGTATAAACACAAATGTTGATATCACTTACTGTTCATTTTCATAATATAGTTTGCCAATGGCCCAGGCAATGATGATTGGGCAAGGAATACCTGCAACAACAGCAAAACATTATGTGTTAATCACAATTGAGGTATATATGGATGAAACAGATGTAGATACAGATTTATATAAAGACAGGAGAGTCTTGGTTAATGGACTGAAAGACTTTAAATGCAACTGGTCGTATTTTAGATGATATATCTGAGACATTGGAATTACTAAAATCTTTCTATGTACAAAAAAATTCACCCCAACAAGAGTAAAAACTCTAGTACCATTAAGACAAGTTAATACATTTCTTAGTAAACATACACATATATACTTCTATTTCCATCCACGCCTTTTCATTTTCCTGCAGTTATTATAGCAAAACCTTAAAGACTGCATTTGTAGATGTATTTGTTTTCCAGTCTGTAAGAAGTTTGTAAATGTATTAGAGTCTTTGGATGAAACCCATTTTCAACATTTTAGTGGAAACTTCTGTACTTGAATCTTCCCTGTGACACAGGACAATGGGAAAGAATCTCTTGATATCTTGCTATATCTGCATTCATTTCTCTTTTGCCCTCTCTACACCATCTAGCTTCCTAGTTTCTTTTTTTTTTTCTTTTTATTCTTTAATATATTATTCTGCTTACAAAGATGTGCTGTGCCCTTGCATCAAAATTCCTATCAAGACCATGCATTTTCTTTATATGCTTCCTTTCCTTGCTGTACTTAGAAGGTTCTAGAGTAGGCACACCAGAGCTCCCTGAGAACGCAATATCACTGCAAAAGATGAGGTGTATTTGTACACTTAATGATGCTGAAGTGCCACCTCCTCTGTTTTTCATTTCTATCAATCTAAACCGTTACTTCAATCTCATGTGCAGAGCCTTGACCTTGCTCTGCTAGACCTTCAGAGTCCATCTGGTTTCCAGGGGAAGAGCTTCTTGCTGCAGGAGGAAATTGGAGGTGAGCAAAAATCAAGAAAGCTAGACCTCCAACACAAACCTTTTGTAGGAAACAACGCCTTTTTCACCCATGCATTCCCAGATGAAGTCTGGATTGATGCTAGAGTCTGAAGAGGAGAGTTTCCTGACTGCATTTCCCCCTAACCTTTAAGCTGTTACTTCAGGCAAAAAACAGACAGCAAAACAACCTCTCCAGCTCCATCCCCCATGGCAGCTCCCAGATTCAAGGCCCTCTGAAATCATTGCTACTCTAAGGCTAACTATATTCTGCACACAGAACTCCTGCACTTGTTAGCAGAGACCTAGAGGCCCCTGAGTGAGAAAGAAACTTCAGGGCACCAGTTGGGTATGGAGTTTGCGAAAACAATGTGAAGAGTTGATTTTCCAGTTCAGTGATGAAATTGAAAAATGTTGAAAAAAATCTGAATCAATTGACCATATAAACATTTTTTTTCTACTGTAATAACTCCACTTTCCCCTCATTGCATATTGGATTGAATGAGATATTTTGTTTTTAAAGTATTTTCTGCCTTTCAAAGTGAAATTCAATTGCTTCTGCTCAAATCTGAAATGAAGCAGTGCTTCTGAACAAAATGTCATTCTACCTTTAGAAAACTTTTGTGATCTTTTCTCACCTCTCTTTTTTCAACAGAAAAAAAGAATGGACAAATTCATGAGTTCTGCTTGACCCCAAATTTTCTATTCAAGAGAACAAGCTTCCTCCAGGGTGGTTGTTTTGCCAATCTGCTCCTGGCTAAATTCAGATTTTGGTGATGTTGTGAGAAATGACCTTTCAGAGTTTCAAGTCCAAACTTCTGCTCAGAGAAGGATTATCATTAAAAATATACCAACTCAGACATGGCTTTGCCATTCTTAATTTTGAAGATCTCCAAAGTTAGAGATTCCACCAATACTCTAGAACATCTGTTTCAGTGTGTTTTCTGTCTTTGAGCAGACAGAAAGATGTAATAAAGAGGATATGTGAGGCTTGTTAATGTCTGTTTTCTAGGAATGAACCCTTCAGTACTCTGAAGGACTGCAATAAGCAGCAGTAGGATTGGACTGTCAGGCTCTCCCCTAATCGTCTCATCACTTAGAAGTGTCTCACCTGTCTCTTGGGACTGAGTGCTTCACAGGGAATGCACAGTGTCTTTCTGATTCACGTTGTGTCGAGCAGCAGTGTCTAAGGGGATGTGATCAGTATTTTGCTGACCAGAGTGAAAGGGACAGGGCATGAACTGCTGCACTCCTCAAGTGCTGAGTCTGGGCATTATATTTTTAATTCCTTAAGACCAAGTACCACAGGCTCTAAATGAAGAACATAAATCCAGAAATAGTTTATTATTTATCTACATCATCAACACAGTGAAGAACTGAATCTGATCTCATGTTGCTGTAACATGAAGTTGGGTCTGAATATCAGATTTGACCACACCGGGATTTTTAAAGTTTATTTTTCCTGCTCCTGTTTTTATAACTTTAATGACAGGCACAATATAACACCAATTTGAATGTGCATGGCACTTACACCATCCTATGAAGAGAAAGACCCATTTCCGCAGCTTATCTGTGGAGTAAGTCATTACTATGGCAGTGTGTAAGTAGCAGCCCTCCACAAACATCCAGAAGAAATTGGTCACCACAAAATAATTGTAGACAGTGGTAATACAACGACACCAGGGCTAGAAAAGAAAAAGAAAGAAATGTTTTAAAATCATGGTGAGAACATTTCAAATACTCCATTTCAGGTATTAAAAATAAATGGTAAGTTTCTCAAGGAAGGTGGAATTATACCTATGGTTTGAAATCAGAATATCTTAAGTGCTGTCTAGACATATGTTGCTATGTCGATGACTTTCTACTGAGGACTGGCTTTGATCACAGCATGCAGGATCACCTGTACCTAGCATGTCTGACAAGCTAACACCCCGTAAGGCATGTCCACACCAGCAGCAATTTGAAAAGCAGCGTGTGGCAAGAAGGCAAGAGGAAGGTCATATGATCAGAGATGATCTTTCAAAGGGTAGCCCATAGTCTAGAAACACATCCAAGGATGACATAAGAGTCTAAGTATGTCTTAGGCAGTGTAACCCACCTGCTGAGGAATTGGAATAAAGTATAGGAGAAGTTTACATTACAGGATGTCTTATTTTCACTGAATGGAAGAAACACCATATCTAGGTGATATCTAGGTAACAACCACAGCAGCAGGTACACGATCAAACTCAACATCATTTTGTGGACCAAGAATGTATTGGATGAAAAACAGACTTACAAATGATTGCCCATTGATAAGTTGTGATCATTTCTGTTTACTGAGCAGTAATAAACAAAAAAGGACTTTTGGATGTGTCAAAACATTGAATCAAAATATTTCATTTCCACATTCTTTTATCAAGATTTGAAATTTAATTCTATTTGATCTTTAAATTAGAATTAAAAGCAAAGTGAAACAGCTCAAAAGAAGATTGAACATTTTGTCTTGAAACAAAGGTTGCTTCAATGTGAGTAAAATTGTCTTTGCTCCTCCTTCTGGCCTGATTAAAGGAAAAAAAATAAAGCCCACCTTTTTCATTAACACAAAATATTTTGACTCCATTTCTGATTGGCCCCAAAGCAAGTAAAACCAAGTTTCCTAGGATGTTGAGCCACATATTTGATTTTGTTCTCTAAGAGGGTATGAAGATGAATTTAACCTTTCACTGCATTTATATTATCTAGGCATGCAGGAGGTTGGACTAGATGATCTCCAAAGGTCCCTTCCAACCTTAACGATTCTGTGATTCTGTGATGTCTCAGTCTCATGCATGTTCGCTGATGTCTGGACTCATGTTCCACTCCTTCCCTCATCTGCATCACTTACTTACATGGTTTTTCTCTGCTTCACAGTTGCCTGTGTTCACAAGACTGAAAAAACTTTCTCTCTGAGCCTTTTGTTGCATTGTCAGACCCAAATAAAATTAGCCAGAGGGCTCTGAGGGCTATGAAGGTAATAGGACACATAGATACAAACACACATAAAGGTGTTGAGATCTCCCTTTGCCTCATTTCCATAGGAAACAGGAAGAAAATTAATTTTTGAGCAACTTCACACAATTCATTGTGGAATTGTGGATTTATTACTATTGAATAATAAACCAAATTAGCAGAACTCATTAATTTCTAACATTTCATTTATTTGACTGAGGATACCTGATCCCCACACAGCCCATCCATCATTAGGCTCTGGGTATCTTCAGCAATGCCTCTTTCTTCATTTATTAACATAAGCGCTATTAATGCCAAATGTTTCCATGTTGCATCATTAATGCTTTTATACCTTCACTGTGTAATCTCCACTGATCAGCACGAAAGACATCATATCATTAGCAGGCATAAATGATGCTTTACCCATTGATTTCAGTGGTGTTATTTTCATTCTGATTTACGCCACAGTAAGAACACCAAGAAACATACCATCAAGACTGTAAAAACGTCTTCCCCAGAAGACTACAGAGAACAGATTAACATAGGGAAAATGAGGCATGAGAGGATCTGTCCTTATATTTGAGCATTTATATTTTCCTTGGTGCTCTGTAGCCACATTTTAAAAGGCATTTGAGTGCCTAACTCCAGCTTATTTTGCTTAAGTAAGTAAAAAATCTTGTATCAAAATTTACAGCATTGTCATCATAGTAAACCTACAACATACACCTGTCAACAACAAAGCTCATTTACTACCTTCTATAGCCTGAAAATGTCAAAAGCACGGACCAGCAAGCAATGAATTAGTAAGAGCAGCTCTGTAGCCACATTTTAAAAGGCATTTGAGTGCCTAACTCCAGCTTATTTTGCTTAAGTAAGTAAAGAATCTTGTATCAAAATTTACAGTATTGTCCTCATAGTAAACCAACAGCATACACCTGTCAACAATAAAGCTCATATACCACCTTCTATAGTCTGAAAATGTCAAAAGCACATACCAGCAAGCAATGAATTAGTAAGAGCAATATCTCTTCTTTCTTAAAGACTCACCTGCTTGAATAACAATACAGAATTATGCATAGGTATCCTAAAAAACATGTCATTCAAAGAAGATGTCATGCTGTTTGCTCACTTTAGTCCTCCAGTTTTTTGAACTGGTTCTAACTTAATCACCCCAGTGATTAAGCAAGCTGACTTGGCTCACCGTGCCAGCAGAAAGCTCTTCCTTGAACGTTTTTGTTGGCCAGAGTAGTTCTCCACCATTTCCATGAGTTCAGGCTCCAAGTGCTCAGTTCTCTCTGAGGTGTTAAGCTATGGACCAGAGCCAGCCTGAAGGAAGCTGCAGGAGTTGGACTGAAGTGTTTAGGGCCCTAGTGGA